TCTCTCTCTCTCTCTCTCTCTCTCTCTCTCCACCCAACTGTTCAGCTGCGCTCCCTACTTGACATCTCAGCTAACAATGGGCGCAACCCAGTAGATATTCATGTCAACCCAGCATGTGGATGACTCTCAAATTTTTAAAGCTCTCCATCGGAGCGGGAGCTCTGGGGGGATAAACGCGGAATTTGAAGGCTCTGCATCTTAGTAATTATTTTAGTGTCCTTAGGACTGTTAAACTTGAAACCCACACTGCATGTACAGTCAAACCTCGTTAATACAGCGTACCTTGGGACGAGTATAAATTTGACGGTACAGCAGTATATGTATAACGGGATACATGTATCACTAAATATCGTAATCAGCGCAAACCAGGAGCAGTCGATGACAAACGCTTGAAATAGGCGAGCTCGCAGACACAAGCTTACGTATGGGAAAGAGATTATCTTGCGGTATAAGGATTAAGAGGAAAAAAACAAACAAACAAAAGGTATTACCTTAATTAATATATAACAAGCTTATTCATGAAGGTACACGACGCTCGCACTTGAAATCGAAACCACAGACAATATAATATATGATATAATCTGGCGAAACCACATATTATGTTCTTGGACGAGCAAATATCTCCCCCCCCCCCCTCTCTCTCTCTCTCTCTCCCGCCCTCCTCTCCTCCCTCACACACACTAACTCAGTGAAGTGACTGAATGCAAATAAAGAATGGGAGTTTGTTAAAACCATATTTAACAGGCCCGGTAATAACTGGGATCCGGTAATAACAGGGATTTTTTAAATCACGTTTTCCCCACTCTTTCTCTCTATTAAAAGTTATCGGCAATAATAAGGCCTCATCGGCGCCCAAATCGGTTATAGCAGGGACAATGGCTCGCTAACAATGGAGAGAGAGAGAAAGAGAGAGAGAGAGAGAGAGAGAGAGGGAGAGGGAGAGAGAGAGAGAGAGAGAGAGAGAGACAGAGAGAGAGAGAGACAGAGAGAGAGAGAGAGAGAGAGAGAGAGAGAGAGAGAGAGAGAGACAGAGGGAGACCATGCAAGCCACGCCACTGACTGCAAGCACACGCAGCGGTGGAAGCGAGAGAGGGCTGTAATGTGCAACAGACTTCGACCAAGGCTTCTCAGTATCAGTAATACAGTCCGTGCCGGCTATAAGCACGCCGGCTTTAAGCACGTTTCGGACTCAAGCACGCTAAACGGCTCTTACCGAATTTTTGCTCTATAAATTACACGCCTAACTATAAGCATGGTAACTTCGGCTTCAAGCACGCTTCATTTACAAGGCAGTCAATATTTTCATGATGACCCATCGAAGTTCGAACACAGTTTACACCGCAACAGTGGAGTGTGTCAAGAGAAACACAAAGAACGCAAGTGATGGACACACACACTCGCACGGGCGGAGAGGAAGGCAGAGAGATGCACACAGCCGTTCACGCGGACATAGGATCTAGCCTAGGCCTAGGGCAAAGCTACGCACGATCCAAAAAAAAAAGAGTCGGGGAGATGAGAAAGGGAGGCTGGCTGCGATTTCACCTTTGACCCTCGCTACCCATTAATCCTGATTGTGTATCACGCGAGAGGTGGGATGAAGGCGGTGGTATGAGTGGCACAGCGGGCAGTGGTACGCACAGGCAGTGTGTTACAGTAGCCCTAGTGTGCTGTATCGTGACTGGCCGTCTAAATTAAGTTTTCATTTCCCATTCGACCACAAAACAAAAACAAACAAGCGAACAAAAACTACCATGGCGGGTGTCTAAATAACAGTGCACACTTTTGTGGGACCGCTAG